TATCATTCTTATTTCCTGCACCTGTTTAGAGTCAGAGTTTCTGACTGAAGTGACTGGAGTGACTGTCCCACCACTGGTATGTGGTTCTAGTTAGTGCACATTTGGGAGAGAAGGAAATATGATGTGGCATTTACAATATTCTTTGGCACTGCTCTGCTAACCGAAATACTCACTGAAAAATGTAATGACTAAAACATACTGTATATCAATAGAATTCATTTTATAAAGGGAAAATAAGTTACTTGAATCTTCAAGTTTTTCTTTCATATATTTGAGGTACTGGCAACCAAAGCAGAAAAATGCAATGTTGTTTCAGAAGAGACATTGAAACTCATGGAATTCATTCATGCATTTGAACTTCCCATTATGTAATCATTCAACTACAGTGCCACAGTAAATACAAGCAGATACTGAACTGAAATCTGAAGGGAATTGAACTGCCAACCTTGATGTTACTGGCCAATCCACTGTCTGGGCCATGAGGAGAGTGTTGTAGTTTTTGGCAAAGGGATATAAGACAGCAAAAATATAATGTGATTTTATAATGTTGTAGTTATTTTTGGTTAAATACTGATTTATGATGTATATGAAACTTAAAATTATCTTATAAAACATTTCAAGTTTTGCTTAAAAAGGTGGTAAACAAAGGTGACCGAACAGCTCTCAGCAAGCTTAACAAATCTTTATGTAATTCAGCACTGGCCTATATTTAGCAAATGTTTATCTCAAAACCGCATTTGACAGAGCCAGACTAAACAGACAAAAGTTAGTGAGTGTTTTGATGAAAAGTCATGTTAATTCCTGTTACAGTAAAATGCTCAAGTCTTCAAAATTCTTAAATAAATTCTTTAAGAATGAACAAACAGCAAATAAATGTTCTAAATATGACACTTCACTCTTCAGTCCAAAGTCAACAATGTGTAGGTAGGCCTAAACCACCCGTGATTTGTAGGTTACACGTCCAAATAACATTGTTTTTATGTTCTGTAAATTATGACTTGGACCCCCCGAAAACATCCCCCGTGAGGCCTCCAACCGTCAGCGAAACATCAACCGAGCGGTGCCTCCAACCCGTGGAGATACAGCGCCGGCTTCACCCTATGCATTTTTCTGCCATTAGTGAAAAAATACTGCGTGAAACTTGAGCCGGAGGAGAGCTTAAATCTGCAACACACACACAGCGGATTCAAAACTGCGTGGCATTTACCGCTGCGCTGGACGTCTCCGAGTACATGTGTGAGAAAGAGTTATTTGAGATTTTTAAGGGGCCAATCGCACACTCTTGTTCGTATGACTCATAGCAATTAACTGTGGAACCTTGGCCACCTTTACATCCTCTCCAGACCCAGCACCAGATATCTCAATTAAAAACCCGGACATTTGAGAAGCCAGAAACACAGACCTGCAGAGATGATGTAGGTCTGCAACCGGAGCTGGTGCGTTTTTGGGCCCGGAAGACAGCTGCAGTTGCATACACAGTCAGTTAAATGGAGTAAGTGCAGAGCCTGGTTTTGGCTTTCAAAGAATAACTCACTGCAAATTTCAAACATAAGAATGAATTGTATATTTTGACTTAGGTTCTGTATGATGTCAGTGTGTTAGAAGAACGCACAGGTTATTGAAATTCCATCATGATTGGACCGGCAGGGAACAGCATAGCAAAATATGGGACTTGCAAACTTGCAGCTCAAGACACACGATTTTAAGAATATTGCATAGATAAACATTTTTTTTAATTAACAGCGCAATGAAGTGATATTTCTGCCCTTACATCCTATTTACATTTTGTAACAAAGACAACAGGTCATTTGTGATATAACACCACCTGAATATCAGATAAACATCGATATATGAATTTTATATTGCCGACTCCTTGTTGTTAAACTGAACCAAAGTTACCACATGTCAAAATGGGCTTACATGACTCTTGCTTACGGAGGCTCTTATCTGAATAATCCGGAAAGTCTTCACAAGCCAAAAGCTGCTGTTCCATCTTGCCATTTTCTTATGTCAACACTTACTACAAATCTTGATCAACACAAATCATGTACAAGATCATTTATTTAAACATCCACTACTTCAGGTTTGATCTCTTTGCTTTGTTCCCCAATTATGAACAGATGTCAGGCGCTACGACTGAACTTTTGAATCAACACAAATGAATGCAACGCCTGTCTTAAAAAACATCAGCCTGTATTGATGAAAACAACATTAGCCTCAGATGCACACCGTCAAAGCCATGCGGCCTTTGATATGAGCTCACTACACTAAACCGCTTCCTTCCTCCACAACTTCCCTGCCCTGCTCCAGACACGCTCCCTTTGTCATCACATCTGCTTCGGACTATAAATCTTGTATCATTCACTCACATAAAGCTTGTTGGAAAATCAAACAGCTTAGACAAAGAAGTCAATAGAGAGAAGAAGAATAAGGAAGAGAATTTTTGCTGGCACCTCGTTTCTGAAGGACAGTGTTAGCCATACGGATTTTACAGTGGTCTCGTAAATCAGTGCACACCAGTGTGTCTGATCTGTTGCAGTAGCTGGAGTTGGTTTAATATTAAAAACTTTAAAAGGTTTTGGCCCCCGAAAAGTACTCTTGTCTTTGTCAGTTTTGGTCTGTCCTAACTACAACACTTGTTTAAAACATGCTCAGTACTTTGCTGTTGCTAGGGGTCTATTGTTTTCAGTTAGCAACAAAGTTTTAGGAGGAGATGCCATTCCTCTTACCTGGACCATGTCAAATCAACTCAAGAGGAGTTAAAATAATAGAATAAAAACATGTCTTAATTGGGCAATGCTCTCACGGACTTGAGGTCGGAAACAAGACAAGCTGAACGCTTGCCAATCAATACACTCAAAAAACAGAAATATTTAAGGAATCTGGCAAAACCCTCCACCGCATGGCACCGTTGCAGGGAACACATGCATTTTGTGGCCATCAAGTACTATTACTTCAGGGAGAATGCTGGGAAACTGTAAAAATATTGATACAAATTAAAGCGTGGTAGGGAAAGCTGAGCCAGGAGGGCGAGGAAAGCAGGAATGAGGTCGAGATTGAGCGCTAATAGGAAAAAGGTGTTAAAGATACGTGGGGTTTGAAAATGAGAATGAGGGACAATACAATGCAGGTGTAGCCTCATTACTGTGAAATGGAGCGGTCAGTGAATAATCAGCACAGGACCACACAGGAGATGAAAGAGTGGACGATGAGGACAGACCAATGCGAGTGGGGCGGCGGTAAACAAGACCATGATGTATGATGAGTTACCGCAGAGGAAAGAGGGAGCAGTGTTTCCATGTTAGAGACAACTGGACACATGCCGTCACTCATTCCCACCATGCTTTCACCATCATTGTGCATGCAGACCACTTCAGCTATGAAAACACCGCCCCCACGCTAATTGTCTCCCAAACAAGATGCTGCAGAATAACTACACAGAGGTCATCTTTTCAAATTGAAACATTTAGGGGTTGTGGCTTATCTGTCTCATTTTTACTCCAAAGGGAAGAAAACAAAAATGTTAATTAATTAATATATAAATTAGATGATTCTGTGATTCTATGAAATTTCAGAATTCTAAATGTGTGTTATTAAAACCTATATATATATTATACCTATATTAAATCTATATTAAAACCTGTAGGATGTGGTCAAAAAGTAAAAAATGGTCTTAAGTAACACGTGTACAGTACACTTTCTGTAGAAATAACCTTGACAGATCAGTGATTATGTTTAGTATGAACAAAATCAATGAATGCATTTGCACAGTACAATTAGAGATTTAGCTGAACTGAACTCCAAGTCCTGTGCCTCCTCTGCGGGTTTCCCCAGTCCATTGTTTTCACAGCATATGTATGTGTGTAAATGCAAATGTGTGTGAATGAAGGAGGCCCAGAGAAGGGGGTGCGGCAGCTGTCTGCCTGGATGACCTCAACGGCAGCTGTTGCCCCCCACTCCCCTGCCCTCCTGATGCCAGCGCGCCTTTGAAGTGAGGCTCAGCACCGATGCAGTTTTGGATCACATACCGATAATGATTACTGAAGAGTCAGACAACTGTCCTTTTCATTTCCAATTGGTCTATTTGTCCCAGCAAATTCTTACAAAAATATTACTGTGACTGCATCTTGGATATGAACCAGAATACAAGTGAAAAGCAGCTGTGAAGCCTTTCCATGCTGTAAACCAGATACAGTGAATGAATAATGATGATAGGTAAATATCGTTAAGTTTTTAAGTACAAGTATCCTTTAATTATTGTGTGAAAAAAGTACTAAACAAGTGGGCAACACATACCACTCCACAATTTTGAATAATATTGCCGGTACACATTTAGTACAGTGGCGGGCAGTGCAGATCAGAAGGCTGTTACTCGCGCTACTCTTTGAAGAGCCGATGGCGGGCAGGGAGAGATGCTTTAGTCAGATTCTCTGGAACGCTGCACAGCCTTAATCTGTCTTTTGGCATCCAGTCGACCGACTGAAATCTGACACACACAGAGGCAAGGTGGCATGTGCACAAACACATGGAAAACCACACACACTCCGCTGTGGAGGCCTTAGGGAGCAGACAGTCACTGACACACGTTCGTCTCTCCAGGTATTTTGTTTACATGGGTAAGAGTGAAGGAAAGCAGCTACGTATAAAAAGCTAGGATGGAAAAAATGCACCCGTATTTGAAAAACAAAGTAGTGAGGGGTCCAAAGGGCTGCACACTAAAGTGGTACAACTAACACATGATGAATGGACCCAATAAAAATAGACTAAACACTGATAAGCTTGAAGTTCCACATTCTTACTTAAAACGAGCATAACAAAAACAGTTGTGATCTAAACATCTGGATAGTAGCAGTAGACAAAACTGAAAGGACCTTTTATTGTGTTCAGTAAATCAACTCTCAGTCTTCTAATCTTCCAACTATCTAAGTAAACTGGAGGAAAAGGGCTGTTGTTGCACATGTTTAGATTTATTTCAAGTTGACATATTCCATTTAACCTACCTATAACAATGAGTGTGTAGTTGATGTTGACACTTCCGAAGCCATTGGTGGCTTTGCAGATGTACGTTCCAGCATCTTCAGTCTCCACCTCTTTGATGCGCAGACCCTGCTGTAACACTCGGAAGCGTGTCCAGCCACTGTGGATGTTACGGCCGTCTTTGGTCCACATGATGAGGGGCGGGGGATCTCCCTCCACAGGACATGGCAGCTTCATCGTGCGGCCCAGACGAATGCTCTGCCGATGGGCTACTCGCTCTGAGACTCTGGGGGGACCTATAACACGAGATGCAAAAAATTTGTCATTTCTATATAAAATGTCTGATCAGCTTTTTCATTAAGGCTTTAAAACCAATTTTGATTGTGTTATCAACTAATCTCAGTGACTGTAAATGGCTGGCATACACGGACTATGAGCAGTCAGCATGATACAGGGTCTTCACATATATTCAACAGATTAACTGATGCACCAACAATAATACGGTGAGACAGGACAGATTTCTACTTTGGTAACATTGTATACAATATATGATTTGTATAATTTTATATAAAGTTTTGCAAGGGGAAATATGCAACTTAAAGTTCTCATAATGTTACCTATCTCATGTGCAGCATTGTCTCCACAGAGTGCTAAAGCAAGCTAGAGTTGTAGGATCAAATTCCTATTGGTCTCTCAAGTCAATTCACCCAGGATACAAAGGTTAATTGTGTAGTTCCAGACCACTGACTTCTACACAAAGTCATCTTGTGGTCACGTCTTCACTTTGACAAACTTTATATTGTTCCCACTGGCTTATTATCAGCCGAGATGTCATGTCGAGTCAGAAAATCAGGTGTGACCCGGATCGCTCGGTAGCTGCTGTACTGTGAAACCTCACACTACAAAAACAGGAGACGGGAAAGCTGACTGATTGACTGGGAAAGGTGGGAGGAAATTGGACCGTGATGGTGAGAAGTAGGGGGGTATCAGGCGGAGTTCACACTGAGATAAGAAAAAGTATTGGAGAAGCATGAACAAAGAATGTGCATCATACAGTAATGGAAATTTGGAGAGAACTGAACCAAGAGGGTAATGAGCCAAATTAAACTATGGTGTTTGCCTATTAAAGGTGCATTGTGTTTTTCCGGTGGAGGGTTTGTCAAATACTTTTCTCCATGGAGATGCTATTGCTTCATCTGGTATGTTTCACAGTATGATATTAAACTTTTCTATCTTCATGGAGATCAAGTTACAGGTCAGATCTGTGGAGAGGCAACTCCGCTGACAGTCAGAATGCCTGTTTTTCTAGGCATTTTTGAGCTATGAAAACCATTGAATAAAAATATAAGGTAGAGCTGTTTAATGTCATAATGTGGAAAATTCCAAGCAGAGCAGTGCCATAGAAACAAAGGTAAGGGACACCCAACAAAAAGTTACAGAGTTTGCTTTAAAAATGTGGGGTTAATCAACATTATAAACACGTCTTATGGGCAGTACAATATGTCCAGAGAAAAAAACTAAAAGCAAGGCTATGGAAATAGTGGATAAACAAGCTTGTATCAGGTCATGTCCTCAAAAAGTTGAGATTAGGATGCATGGGGTTGTTGTGTATTTGCTAAATTCAACAGAGGATATATAAATAAATAGACAAGTTATGGATACTGTGGTTATGTTGAAATGATTCTAGTGTCAGTCTGCGGTAATCCTTTTTTTAACATATAGACCCTCTCCAAAGAAGATTGCAACACAGTAATTTCAGCTCCCCAGACGGATTTATAAATGAGGTTAAATACACGGTAAATACATCCTGTAGAATATAAAACGTTACAGTAGTCTTGTACTATTTGCAGTCCTGGCAGCCCTTGTTTTAACAGGGGAGCGGGAGGTGGACACAATGATGGATGGAAGAAGGTGAAATGTGTGAAAAAGACATTAGTCACGCAGAGGTATTCACTGGGCCTCCCTCTCTCCCCGTCCTCTACTCCTCTTCTCTCTCTCCTTTCTTTTTTCTCTCCCCTCTCCAGTCCTCCCTGTTCAAAGTCCTGCGGAGTGCGTTCACTTGGTAGTATGGCTTTCTCATCAGACACAGACAGCTCTTTTTTGCTGTGTCTTTACTACTATGTCTCACTCTTTATGACCCATATTCAGTCCACTTTTAAAGATACATCCTTCTTCCACTAAAAACCCTAGACCACTTTTTTTTAACCTGTCTTGGTTTTATCATCAGTTTTGACTTTTGCATTTAGCTATAAATGGCTTTTACAAGTCAAAGATGTACCCAGACCTGAATTTGATAAATGCTCTAACTATATCAAATGTGCAGAAGTGAGGGATCTGCTACCATGGAAAAGTTTTTTCTTTTCTGACTTTCTTCTGCAGTATGGGATTAAACTCAGTTACAAGTGTTTTGATTGTTTAAAAATGTAGAAAAACAGACTATCTTACATGCAGTTGGCAAACAATCCACCAGAAATGTTACAAAATGCATCATTAAACCATATTTAAATCATGCTTTTAATATATTTAGCTTATAAATTTTTGTTACCCCATTTGTGGCTGAAATTCTCCTATCCTCCAATGATATTATCACAATTGGTTCATGAAAATATAGTTTTATCAAATGATCTCTGATCTTATACTCTTAGACTATGATCAAAATAATTCAAACCTGCATGAATCAATGGTGAAGGCAAACCCTACTTTTAAAATGCTGGTTCAAATGGAAAGTACAGCCATTGTTTGTTGAAGGTTCACATTTTCTATAAGGTCAAGTTGACACCAGTTAGCAGCCACCAGCTCCCCTCTGTTGATCCTACCTATACAAATGCAGAAAACATCCTGCAATGAAAATCATCTCCAAAAGCACATCCTGTTTTTATCATTGAGGCTGTAATTTCTTTTCCCTAACACAATAATTCCTCCTACTTTCCTGGCATGCACTGTTCGGCTCTACCTTAAGTGTTCCCAGTTCCACTACCCCCTGCCCGATCCCTTTCCTTGTCGTCACTTTTCCCCTTCATTCTCTGCCTCTCCTTTTGCTCAGCTCTTACTCCCTTCTTTGCCCTGTTCAAAAAGTCATCCCCAGAGGATGGCCGGAGCGAGACCTCTGACTGAACTTCTAACCATTCAAACAGTTAACCTCTCCTACGCCTCCCTGCTCCACAGTTTCCTCCTCTCCTCCCTCCTCACTCCTGGGCTTATGACCTTCACAATGTCTTTTAAAATCTCTCTCTCGGGGCTGAAACAAAAGTCGACGAAAAATATTCTTGTCTTTCATGAGTGTTTATGACTTTCAATTTGCTTGGTAAGTTGTTGGTTAGTAAAAATGGTATCAAGATCCTAATCAATACCTAAACTAGTATTAAATAACTAGGATATTCATTTCAACAAGTGTCAATACTGAAAGAATTCCTATAACTAAGATAGAATTTGACGTTTCCAGAGTCATAGTTAAAGAATGGTCTTGATATTAGAACTAGTATAATCTTGTAATATAGTATTATAAAAAGTAATTTTTATTGTCACAGTAGTATCAAAATCAGTATCAAGTATCAGTCGTTTTCTTTGAAACTGTCAATCTCTGTCTCTGTCAGTCTCTCTGAATAAAAGGTGAAAAGTGCATCACAAAATAGAACAGAGCATTTTGAACTTTGGAGATATAGACAGACTAATAATAAAGGATTACTCAAACATGCATGAGCAAAATAAAACACAAATCCAGGTATGTTTTGGCATTTTTGCATTGTAATAAGGCTATGAGGTACATCTCTATTCAGTTATACAATAGGTCTGGCCTCCAATTGTTTACTTCAAATCTGCTTAGTCCATTTAGTTACCTTTAATGGGCTCTCCAAAACAATTTGGCGCACCTTGGAGGCTGTGGTCTTTGCAGATGCCTTGCACATGCACACTCAGGCATCTTCCATATAAGTTCCCACACAGCAGGGTGTGCGTAGGTTAGCGTCTGCTGTTTTGAAGCTTAATGACAGGAAAATGCAGCCAGCCCACGTCAGACCCACTACTCCCACTGAGACTTCCAGCTCAGATCTGCACATCCTCTGGTAGCTACAAGAGTCTGACAGCCAAAGAAAGCTGGCAAGAATTTACTATATACACTACATTCCCCATATTTGACAGTTACTCCCCAAACAACCACGAATGAGCGATACAAGATGTTTAATTTATCTGTTAATTTTCAACAGGCAGAGCAGGGCAAATGGGACAATCGCTCAATGATATGGCATTTAGTGAAAAGCTCAGGTAGTTTCATGCTTTAAAAGTTGCATTGGTATTTAAGTCAGATGGGTGTAGTATGAAGTCTTACTCCGGGTTGTTGTTGGCAGGGAAGAGAGTCTGGAGAGAGAGGGGAGAGCCGAGGAATGCTTTTGATGGAGAGCACTTAACAGCGGGACACAGGCTGATGTACTGCACGAGGTGGAGGTGTGTGTGCACACGCTGGGCCATGTATCACAGTGTATGCTACAGTCACAAGACTGAATGAAGATGAGACAGTTGCAGACTTTGACAGGAAGATTAGAGTGGTGGAGATCTATGCAGATTGAGGATTAGTCAGATAAATGGAGTATCAGGTTTGGAAATGCAGATGTTGTAGGCTAATTGGTGTTTTTGTTGGCTGACATCAAACACATTCAATCGAAAATGTATTTTAAAGGTGCTTTGTGTAACTTTCCTGGTAGAGCACCCATCAAATTCTTTTCTCCATATTGCATTGTCTGGAATTTTTCACAGCAAGGTATTAAACTTTTCTGTCTTCTTAAAGCACAAACCAGACAGAAGTTACAAGTCAGATCTATGGAGAGGCAACCCCGCTCATAATCAGAATGCCTTTTTTTTTTTTTAGGTATTTTTGAGCTATAAAACCATCTGCAATTGAATAAATGTAAGGTCAAGCTGTTTAATATCATACTGTGGAACATTCTAGGCAGAGAAGTAACATCTACATAGAAACAAGCAGGTGATGGTCCACCAACCTAAAAGCTACATAGTGCACCTTTAATATGAAGTTATTTAGTGTTTTCTGTGGGTCCCAAGAATTAATACATTAATACGTTAATACAACAAAGCTATGCAGGAATGAGTATCCAACATAAAGCAAGTGTGAAATCTAAATTATATGAGTATCCTGGAAACATAGGGCAAATATATGATATTCAATACAATTCCAAGTTCTATTCTTTTCTATGATCGACATTAATACAACCTAGATAGATACTTTTGCACACAGAATAAGCTTCTCTCTTTGTACTTTCAAATTCCAAATTCAAATGTTATTTTT